TCGCTGAATACTACCGCGTATTTGTTTAAAATCTTGGTTAGTTTCGCGCGAGTTTCGGGGTCGTTTCCAAATTGTAATTGTGACAAGTCGGGACGAGTGGCGGGTGGTTGTGGTTTCCCTTTCCAGCATGTCGACGTACGAATTTGCCTACCCATGTGAATTGTGCATGCGGCGTAATCCCAAGAGACTTCATTGGTTACAAGAAAGTCGTGTCCTAGTAACGCGTCGCAATACAAATTGTCTAGGATGGTAGCTTCGAATTTTATATCGAGTGTACCTATCCTAGCTTCGAATGTGGAGGTGCCACTGGTTGTTGCAGTGTGACCGTCCGCCATCCGGACTGTGTTTGTTGGTCCGTGGGGAGGTGTTTTGCCGTATTTACGGGCTACTGTCGGGTTTACGTACGATTTTTGTGCCTGCGAATCTAATAGAGCTGTTACGAAGCCTGACGGAAATTCGAGCTCGACCGCGGGGGTCGGAATTTTGTCTGGGCGTGTTCGCGTATCATTTTTAGTCGTAGTGCAATCGGTCGAGCTGGACAATTGGTTCTTAACCGCGACGGGAACTGTCTGGTCGTCGGTGTCAACCGCCATGACCATACTGTCAACGTCGGTTGCCTCGTTGCTCGCCTCTTGCTTTACGTGCGCAGACTGACCTAATGCGGGGATAAGCGTGGTGTGTGTGCTTGTATCCCCGTCACCTGTGCAGGTGAACACCCGTGTCTCTGTTGCCTTTGTCCCTACACCTGTGGCTGCCCCATGAGCCGGTTGTTGTTGAACACACGTGTCACCGGTGAGGTGAGTGTGTTCTGTGGTGGGGTGGTGTAGGTTGGGGGTCTGTGAACGGGTGCCGATTGGTGGTGAGACGGAAAAAATTTTCGTAGTTGGTTTTTCTGTGTGTTGAATTACCGAACTACGCGCTTTTCGATTACGTGTTTTTTTTCCGTGTGTACTACCGATAGTGGTTGGTGATGGGTGGGGGGGTGGTGTTGAGTCGATGGGGGGGACTAGTCCCCGTCGACTCCCCCGCCGTTTCCCGACGTGGTCGGTTTGTGTGGGCACTTACTGTTCCAGTGGAGTTCCCCACAATACCTGCACGGCCCCGGTGGGTGATCATCTGTTGTTTTTTTATAAAATTTTTTTTTGACCGGGGCGGCTGTTTGTGGGGTATCCGCCCGGTTTTTGGGTTTTGGGGCCCATTGTTGGGGGGTCGGTTTGGTGCTGTCCGTTACCGGGTCCAAAACGCCTGCGATGCGTCGTAGCTCGTTGAACGTCAATGGCCGTTGTAGACGGATGTGTGTTCGGAAAGTGTCGCGCGTTAATCCTGCTATAATACCTACCAATTCCGACTCGGATAGGCCGGTATTTACGCGGCGCGCTTGCTGGTTTTTAACTAGCACAAATTCCGTTAGAGATTGTCTAGACGTTTGTCGTGTTGACACGATGTCGGCGCGCAGTTGGGATTGGATTTCGGAATTGTTGTAATTTTCTAAAAACTCAACCCTAAATTCTTCCCAGGATAGGTCGAGTATTTTTATGGACGCGTACCATACACTCGCCGTTCCTTTTAACTGCGGCTCGACCGCCCTGCACCAACCCGAGGGGTGTATACGTGCTTGCACCAAAATCGACTCGGTATTATTAATGTACCGTACGGGGTCCTCGGCCCTTGTTCCTGTGAACTCGGGTAACGAAGCTCTTGCTGTGCGCAAGTCGTCGTACGGTATTAGTACCGAGCGTTCATGCGCGCGTGCTTCGTACGGCGCGTATTGTGACGCGCGTGTGGTGTGACCCGTATAGTCATTGGTTTCGCGCGCGAAAAACGGTCGGTTGTTCGCGTCGGCGATGTGGCTGGCGCTGTGTTGAGCGCCGCCGTCATTGAGCTCATATGACCTACCCGACTGGTGACTATCGTGTGTACGATTTGGCATCTGTACGGGTGACGGGTGGTTATCTAACCGCGGGGCTGCTACACTGTTTGGCGGTTGGGTGGTTGCCTGGCGCGATTCTGTGAAGAACCGCGTCATGCTCGCTTCCAACGCCCCTAAACGTGCCTCGAACGATGTTGAGTCGTTCGTTTGTGGCAACATTTGTTTTAACTGTTGTAGTTGTTTCGCCGCGGTTTCGAAAATGTCTGTTTTTACAGGTTGTGCGGACTGGCCCTGTTGCATGGTCGACTGGAAGCCGCCGATTTCTGGCCGGTTGTCTGTGGGTTTTTGACTTGCTGTTGGGCTTGTCAAAATTCCCCCAGGCGGTTGTCCGAAAATCTGGCTGGCGTTCGTGTTTTCCAGCGTTGATGTCATGTGTTGTTGTTGTTCAGTACTGCCCTGGAATCCTACGGTTCCAGGCTGCACTGTTATGAACTTCACATTCTCGGGGACTAGTCCGCTTGCCCTAAGGTGCTCCTCTAGCCGGACGTACACATCCGACTTCGTCCCGGATGCGCTGAGGCCGCGGGCCGTGCACTCGCTACGTAGCTCCACCGACGACAACTGCTGTAACGTTTTTTCCGACATTGTGTAAAATTGTTTACCGATGTGGTCGTTACGCTGTTGTATGGTCAGTGGATTGTGCTTGTTGCGCGGTGTGCACGGTTTTGAGGAGGCTTTCTGTTTTTTCGATAAATTTCGCGCGCTAGCTACGAAAATTTATATATTTATTATTTATGATTGTGTAACAGATCAGCTGACGACAGTGCCGCCGTTGCGTACCAAAAATAGTGGTACTGGGTCAACGACCTCGGTGGTGGCAGCTGTCGGCTGCGGCGGCTGAACCGGTTTTTGGCCTGCGCGCTCTGTTTTTATCGGCGATAATGTCGCGGTGCGAAAGGTAGGCGTTGCGGAGGGGTGGTGGTTGTTATATAACTACTTCCCAATCCGTATCACGGTTATGCACGGCTGCGTGGATTTCCCTGTTACGTACTAAAAATAATTGTTACGTAATGTTCTCTATGGAGTCCTAGCTAACCGGCAAACACACTCCTGGTCGAATAACTTATTACTAATTAAATATAAGCAGTTAATCCGAGGTATGTGTCAGCGTGAAAACTCTTACCTTGTCGCTGACTTGAGGAGATTCCTCTGCGGGGAGCCAATTTGACGCGGCTACGGCGATGGTGGTCTGATTTTTGCAGTGAGCCGGTCGTGTAGCGCCGGTGAGTGGCGCGGAAGTGTGGTATTAAAGAAATATACACCAGGGTTGTTATGGGGTCCTCGTGGATCGTATATTGATGACAATTATAGCGGTGAGGATGACACAAGTCAAAAAGCAATATAAAAAAAAAAACAAGAATGTTAATGTCGGAACACAGACGGTCGTCACGTGGTCGCACTGATGTTTCGGCGGGTCGCGTTGTCGGCGTGCGTGCGTGTTGGTGAACCGTTGGTGGTCGAGAGAGAGAATTGCCGGCGGCCGGTACTCGTATTGCGCGACTTGCCTTCCCGTCCCGCCTTGTGCCTTTGTGGCGTGGTGGGAGAGTTGGCGATGTCGCGCTGTAGCCCGTGGTGGCGGTTGACAAAAGCGTAGACCGGCCGCTGCGGTACCTGTACTTTGTACTGGTTGCCGCTGCGTACCGTGTCAACTATACTGACTAATATTATAGTAGGTAACAATTGTATCATAGGCAGGTAGGTCCAATTGTATGTGAATATCTTATGTAGTTTAATTTAGTAAGTGCATATCCCCCAGTGGTTGGAAAAATGTTACCCTTTCGCCAACTCTTTAGTTGTCAGAACTGAAATGTATAGGTACTTGTAATTTAGTTTAAACGTGAATATTTATACTGGGGTAGTAATATAGGTCTGTACTAATGCCTGTACATGCTTATGTATGTAACAGTAAGAAGAATGAAGATATTATAATAAAGCTTATTTGTGTACTTATTGTAAGTCTTGGCTGATATACACTAACCAAGAATTTGGCCATTGTTTCAAAAGCAAACCAGTTAGGCTTATAAACATCATCTGCGCCACTTCCTGTTCTCATGCTACTTTTCACCTTGCTCAATAATGGTCTAAAACTAGCTATCAAAGAGTGTTGTTTATCCTTACCCATGCGTCATTAACCAAATTTCGGTTTTTGTGATCTGGATTTTTAGGGTTCCAAATCGATCGCTCTTGTTCATCCAGCTTCAAAAACTCTGGACTCATTTTGTTTGACCATTCCATTAAACTACACATTTTTATTTTACAGGTAGTATTATATTATTTATATTTTAAAACTGTTGATCACCTAATAAAATATAAAAAACGTTGAATCATTCAAGTTTACTGTTGAAATTAAATTAGTATAATACATAGATAAGTATTTAGAATAGATAGGCAACTCCCATGTTATAAAAACGAACCGTTTCACAGCGCTCCCGGTGGTTGTACGAGAAAACTAAAACAGCGCTACCATCGATAGTTATTGTTATATCGATTATATAGCTTATCGATAATTAACAATCGATTATTAACTACCTTAACTATCGATGATTTTGTCTAGAAATAAAATTGTAGGTAAGGAATTTAGTAATAAAAAAAAATAAATTATTTTCTTATAAGAGATCATTTTTTATTAAATAGTTATCAAACAAACAATTGTATAGTTGTATACAAATTATTTAGTATAAAATAAAATTACAATAAGAAGTAATTTAACATTAAATATATTATATATTATATAATTTATATTAATTATAATTAGTATTATATATAAAATTAATATTCATATTGTAATTTAATAAATAAGGGTATTACATAAATGAATATAAGGTAAATAATAAATTTAACATTTACATTTAGTAACAAACCAAATAAACAGATAAACATTATTTATTAAATAATGTTTTTTTGTTTGTTATTAAATGTAACAAAATTATGCGATTTTTATAAACAATTTGATGAACTAATGTTTCTATATAAAAAATAACAAACAATTAACATACAAACAGTTAACATAGCTGTAACGGACAACACATGAGGGTCACCTTAACACTAAAATTAAATAAAATGATATACTTTAAATTAAGTTAAACTTTCCCTGAGTTTTTCTGGTCTTTGAGTGCTTTAAATACCATGTGTAGGCCAATTTTTTAACAGGATCAGTCTCATTGTCTTGCAATTTTCTTTTTCCTAGAAGGATTCTGTTAACTTCAGTACAATAATGTTGTATCAACATTTTAACTGTAAATTTAATTATGTTCAGCCGGAAAAGATCTTTGTGTTCCGAACAATTTAATTCAAAAGTTAAAATTAATTGTTGATTTAAGGCATTAGTCAGAGTTGAATGTATATTTGGATGAAGACAGACATTTGACATTTTTTCTCCGACAAAACTTATGATTTGTTGAACTATAGAACATAATGTAGATGTTGGGTATTTTAAAGTTGGATGATTTGATTGATATTCTCGAGCAGTTATTAATGAATGATGTTCGGATACCTTTTCTGTACAAAGCTGAGTGAGGCATGTTTGACAATTTTTAAAAAAAGTTTTGTTTAATTTTTTTACTATAAATCCGGCAATGTAATTTTGAGCTTGTCCTCGAACAAAAGAAGTAGTCATTGATAAATTATGTAGTGTTGGAGGCAAATCAGCACTAATGACAATTTGGTTCTCAAAGTCAGACGTTGAAGCAATGGCACTCTCAAAAAAATTTTTGAATGATGACAAGCTTCCTTCTGTGAAGTCTTCTTCACAGTTCGATCCTGTTTGGGTGGACACCAAATTATTCAAAACTAAAGTTTTGTATGCAGAAGCAAATGCATGACAATTCGGATTTTTTGAACCAATACTTCTGATTGCACCAAAGAAGCATTCTAACGGGTCCTGATTGAGATGCCGAGGAAGAAAGAAACGTATACCATTCAGATCCAACACCTTGGACAGTGTTTGAAAAGCTAAAACAAACAATTTTTAATGTTCAGTATTATAAAAATTATAAAAAAATGTATTGATAAAATGTCATACATCGTATAGTTGTCATCCAGTTTTGGATCGTTGGAACTGACTTTTTTCTACCATTCTCAAGTATAAAGCTCATTGTACTGAGCACTTTTAAACTTTCGGCCCAAAGAGTATGATGGATAGAATTTTTTTTGACAGCAGTACGGTATATTTTTCCATCAGTTACTTTGTCAAAACTTCCATTTAGTGAGTCGAAAAGTTTATCAAAAAAAAGGCATATAAAAGCAGTGTCGGCAGCATCTGTACCAATGATATTACGAGCTGAAAACATTTTAGTTATTAGTCAGTACATTTCATTGTATTTTAAAATCTTACATGCAAGAAAATTCATAGTAGAAGAAACTCGTTGCGAAAAAACTTGTGTAACGTATTTCACATTCATTTTTGCAATTTTGTCAAGACTATATGCTGATCGGTAAGTCGCGGTAACATCTTGCAATCTGGATCAGCACTATCTATCTTGTATAGATCTTCGAGATGTGACCATTTAGCATATTTTGTTTTGTTATCAATTGTATAAGATAAATTTTTGGTTAGTAAATTATTTCTTATACATTTCATTAAGTGCGGGACATCATATATATGAACCAATTTCAGCCTTTGTTTATCATGTAATTCAACTTCATAAAATTCATCGTGATATTCTGAGTTGTTTTTTACATGATAAAGTCGAGTTTCATTGTTCAAAATATTTATTGCACCAACATTTGCAGTTCTCTGGTCACTAATAGTTGCTACAACACGAAAGCCTGTCAAATGAACAGCCTCAATCACCTATTTTCAAAAAAATAAAAAATAATAATAAGGTAGTAATAAATTATAAATATCACATTAGTGAAATCAAATTACTTTTTTCAATTGACAAATAATTTCATATTGGTTTGTGGCTCCTTTGCAAAATGTGTACATAATTGGCTGTTTGAATTTCTTTTTTATTCCTCGTACCATGAAGACTAATGCGTGATCAGCAATATTTTGATTTTTACTATGTCCAGTATTCACAAACCCATCAATTTCATCGGTAACTGTGTTATAGGTCAAACCACTTGACAAACACACCTCGTCAAACAAAATTGAACAATACCTGAAACAAATATTTGTAAGTGAAATAAATAAAATAAAATCTATAATCAATTTAGCTTTTTACCTTTCTGATGGCTTGAGCTTTTGAACATTATCCTTAAGTACTTTCATCATCAATGGACATATTCCAGGTGATATTCTAACACTAGATAGAATGTTATTCAATGTCCGTTTGCTTGGCAAGGTAAAAAGTTTTGCCAACATTCGATAACATTTGGGTGAACGTTTATACAAAGATAAACTTAACATTTTTTCATCCAAATTGAATCTACGTCCTCTGCTAAACTTTTTGGTCTCTCTAACTTGAAGTTTCATGAACAATGAAGCAGCAGCAGTAGTTTTTTGTGACAGCCGTGAAACTAAATATTTATCAGCGAACTTTTCAGCATCTCTAAGTCTTGTTTTAAATAAATTATTTCGGTTCGCATTACGTCGACTTTGTTTAAGGAGCAGATTTGTAACTTTATACAATTTTTTACAATTTGGTGTCAAACGGCTGCAATTGGCAACACCAATTTGTTTCAAAACATCTAGAATAAAAACCAAAATTTAGATAAATACTCAATTGTAAAAAAAAAAACTCAATCTACAAGCAAATTGAAATCAAAATCAATTTTTTAATATTTTCTATTAAATCTGAAAACAAGAATAAATAAAAATCATAAGCACCAGTTCCAGTTTTCGGTTTTCTTGCAGTTGGTTTAGTTGGTTTAGCATGCTTAACATTCAACTTTTTAGCATTTCCGGAATTAACAGCATTAGCATAAGCAGAATTACCTCGTGAATTACTAATTAAAGCATCGCTATCATCTATATAAAGCATTATTAATATAGCTGTGCACTTAATATTAATATATATTTTTAAATCTATAAAACAAGTCAATTATATACTATAGATTATAGGTGTCATACCCATTGAACCATTGTTGATGAATGAAGTTTCCAATGTCAATACTTCATCAAGAACTGATGTTTCCAATACATTGAAACCAGACATAACACTGTCATCAAGATTCATTTGATCAACTAGTATAAGTAGAATAAATATTATAAAAGCATATTATGTTGAATAAGCAAGCATAAGTCAAGTTTACCAGACAAAGTTTCATTATTTAATATGGCATGTGTTTTTGCTGGTGTACTATAAACAGTATTTGCAACCGTTCCATATCCTGACATTTCTGAATCGCTCTGATGTATGAATCTTGAAGATTCAACACTAGGTTGACTAGGTTCTGAATTAGTACCACCCAGATACGTGCCTGCTACAAACAACAATAAATTATGCCATATTTCTTACAATACTTAAAAATATCAATATTTATAGGTAGGTAGGTACCTGGTAACAGTAATGTTGGACAAGAGTTCGCATTCAGTCTCTTAGTACCAGGACTAAAACACTGTTCATCAAAATGATTATTGCATATAAATTTCTTTTTATAAACATCGTTTGGATCCATTTCATTCAAACCAACCAAATCAATCCATTTTTTTAATCGAACCAAGTCCGTTCTGGGATTGGGAAATCGATGAACAACAATACCTAATATAATACATGTAATGTATGTTCATTATAGAAAGTAGGTTATTTTGGGTTATAAATAATAATATTGTTTATAAATTCCATTTGACAATAAATATTATAGATAAGTATAATATCTACAAAATGTCAATTTTAAATCTTACATTCACACATTTTAAAGATAATTTATTTTTTTCATATACAATAAATGAAAATGGAAATACCCAGTCTTCTGTAATAATACCATAAGGAATAACTCCATTTAAAAAGCATGTTGAATAAAACATTTAAATTTTAAAGATATAAGATAATAATATAGAATGCTTGTTGAGTTGTATAACTTTTTATGAAATTATAAAATACTTACCTCTGGATTGACAGCCATATATTACGCACTTTGAAGCATTTTTAGAAAGCATCATAAAATATTATATAACAGATGTCCAATATAAGTATATAACAGTAAACAGTATATATCAATGACCAGTACCTACTCACAAGTCACAAATCACAATACGAAATACTGTCCGGTTGGTTAATACGAATACGAAAAACGAAATACGCACAATACGAAATAAGTACCTACAAGACGAAATACACAGTAACACGAATGTCGGAGTCGGAATTTGTCGGATAAATCATGCGAAAAAAAAACCGTTGCTGTCTGTCAGCGAGCGGCACAGATAAGAATAATTAATATGGCGAGTGGAGACCGGTGTTCTGCCACGACATGCAGCGCTTATGGTGGTTGTACGATACAACTATACGGTACAAAACGATCCAATGGAGTTGCACTAGCCTAGTATAATATAATTTTTATGAGTTATGCTTATGACTGTTAACAAAGTACCAAATTACAATTAATTAATTTGATAATATAGCTGATAACTGATAAGTGATAACAAAAAACAACAGAATGGCAAATATTCGTCGTGTCGTGGGAATGTACCAACGAACATCTATTTTGGTAATTAAATTCTCTTTGACTCGTGTCATTTTTACCGTCAATCGACGGGAAGGTGGCGAATAACGAATAACGAATACCGAGTATTCGTACAAGTACTCCATTCCCACTACTCGGCGAGTATCCACGAATATCAAATATTCGTAAAATACACGAGTCGTGGGATCCCGCCTTAATACACGATCGCGCTCGCATATGTACCTACTGCACATTGTTTCCAATGTTATATTATACGCACACAATAAATACACTTCGTTGGCCATAATATCAGACGCTAATTTTATTGTTCAGGACAAATTGTACGAGCGTCTCTCTCGGTCTCTTATAGGTACACTGCTCATATATGTGCGCCGGTTCCGAGATAAGATCGCTGCCATCACGTACACGTATAATAATATATATATATATATAGGTATGCCGCCGAGTGTGCAGCGACAACGCTGCACCACCCTCGTGTTATATCAAAATAATAATAATAATAGTCATCCGTACTTAGGCAGTATATATAATATGTTATTATATAGCAAGTATGACATGTATACGCGAATACCATTATATATATATTATTATAGTATTGTTATTGTTGTATATATTATGGTCGTCGTCGTCACTATTATAATACTACCAAACGCGTATTACCTATAGGTATGTATACAATACAATATATATATTATATTTATACATACTATTAAGTGTATTCGTATGTATATCCGACCGGAGAAAAAAAAATAATATATATATATGAATACAAACCGCATGCGTCATCGACGGGGGCAAAATATGTATCGACTTCATGTTCCACATTCATTTAACAGTGGTTTAAGAGGTAATTCATCTCTCATGAAACAACCTCTGAATATTTTTATATTATTTCCAAATTGTATTATATCAAAATTACTTAGCGGTTCAATTTTTAGATATTTTTTTTTCAAATTTTTTATAAATGATGATTTATTGAAATTATTCATTTTTTCGATTTGTTTTTTTTTTCTTCAATCCAGAACCTTTATTTTCCGTTGCTTTATTATGTCGAATTGTTTCTTTTACAATTGCATTTTTGTAATTTTTATCATTAACACTGTTGTAAATTGCAGATACACCTCCAACTAACGCGCTAGCTGCACCTCTCCCTGCAAAAAGTAATGGTAAAAATCCACCTTTTTTATCTTTAATTTGTAAATTTCGAATCTCTATCCTTACTCCAGATTTTTTATCCTTAGCGATTTTTAATTTATCTAGTTGAATTTTATCTAAATTATAAATATTTTCTCCTTTAAATATTTTGTTACTAGCAAATTGAAGTGTTGCATTAGTATTATTTTTATGAGCTTCTTGTAATTTTTTAATTTGATTTTTATTTAATTTAAAATAGTATGTCATTTTATAATACAAAATATTATAAAATTTATTCATATATCAAATTCATTCCTAAACGTCTTTTTCCTTTCATTGCATATGCAGTTAAAATAGCCGGATTTTTTTCAGATATAGGACTATCAGGATCATTATATCTTTCCAATGATTTTGTTGTAAAATTTTATCAGCAATATGTCTTGATTTAATGTATTAATGATTTTTGTAAAAATAATCGTGTTCTCTTGCAGCTTCGTCTAATTTGTTGATTGGTTGTATATTTCGTTCTTCATTTTTCTCTAAATTTGTAAATGGTCCTAAATATTTATATTTAGGATAATGCATCGGAGGTAAATATTTACAATTCAAAAAATCATTAAAAAAACCTGCACCTTTTATAATTTTCTTT